AGAATGAATGAATGTATGAATGAATGAATGAATGATTGAATGAATGAATGAATGAATGATTGAATGAATGAATGAATGAATGAATGAATGATTTAATGAATGATTGAATGAATGAATGTATGAATGAATGAATGAATGAATGAATGAAGGAATGATTGAATTATTGAATTGATGAAAGAACGAATAAACGAACAAATAAATGAATGAACTTTCAAATAAAAAAACATTTAGCAAAAATGAATGAAACAATGATAGCTAGATTCCTTCTCCCCCCCCCAAGCAACAGAGGACCTCACAAAAGGCAGTAAAGCCTCAGAACTCAGCCTACCTTCTAGCAAATCAGCCTCCCTATTGGCCGTGACGTCACCAACAAATATTACGCCATCGTCTCCTGTTTCCGGCATTCCGCCAACAACAACAGTCACCACAGATACTGGTTGGGATTTTTTAATTTGTCACAAAGTTGATTAAATTATGTTAATGCAAGCCAGGAAAAACAACTGACTACAACAACAAAATATTCATATACAAATGGTTAATTATGTATATTTATTCACACGCTAATTTAATTATGCAAATTTATGCAGGACTGTCCTCAAACTTAAGTATATCTGACAATCCTCCTTCAACTATTGGTTCAAGTTTTATGAACGGCCTTGAGCAAGGTTGTGTGTGTATGTATGTATGTATGTATGTATGTATGAATGTATGTATGTATGTATGTATGTATGTATGTATGTATGTATGTATGTATGTATGTATGTATGTATGTATGTATGTATGTATGTATGTATGTATGTATGTATGTATGTATGTATGTATGTATGTATGTATGTATGTATGTATGTATGTATGTATGTATGTATGTATGTATGTATGTATGTATGTATGTATGTATGTATGTATGTATGTATGTATGTATGTATGTATGTATGCATGCATGCATGTATTTATGTATGTATGTATGATGCAATTTCGCTGACGTCACCGCTAGCCAAAAAGATGCAGGCGAACAAACACAACAACAACAACAACAAAACATCAAAGAAGAAACATGCCTACAAATTTGATGGCAACTTCAACAACATCAACAACAACAACATCAACAACAACAACGTCAACAGCAACAACAGCAAAAACATCAACAACAACAAAAACATCAACAACTACAACAGCAGTAACAACAACAACAACAGCAGCAACAGCAAAAACATCAACAACAACAACAACAGCAACAGCAGCAGCAGCAACAACAACAACAGCAACAACAACAACAGCAAGAAAAGTAGCGACACCATCCACTCTGATCGCAACCTGAACAACAACGCCGAGACGAAACTACGCGAAGAACACCATCATCATCATCACTACCACGGTCGCCATCATCATCATCATCGTCATCATCATAATGATGATAAAAAGACCAGCAAACATCATCATCATCGTCGTCATCATCATCATCATCATCGCCAACTTGATGATGATGATGGTGATAAAGACTTAACCATTGCTTCGACTTCGAATAATGATGACGATCGGAATGATGATAATGATGACAAGTATGATGATGATGATGACGCAAGCTCAGACACCACCACCACCACAACTACTACTACTACTGTCGCTAGTACTACAACGATTGCTACATCTAAATATCTAGAAAATTCAGTCGCCAATGTGGCCAACAATGCCGGAGCCACAAGCAGCGTCAACACCGGATGTTAGTATGACGTCATCATCATCGTCATCATCATTATCATTATCGTCGTCATCATCATCATCATCCACAGTGGTTTCATACAATGATGTTCAGGCGAATTTTCAAAAAAACGCCAATACAAGTAAGCTGAATGAACGAATGAACGAACGAACGAATGAATGAATGAACGAATGAATGAATGAAAAAATTCTTATAAAACTATAAAACCTGCCAAATATGACTTGTAAAAAATGTAGAAATGTAGATTTATGAAAGAACATGTATGAAGGATGGAATGAACGAACGAACGAATGAACGAACGAATGAATGAATGAATGAATGAACAAACGAATGAATGAATGAATGAAACCAGACGCAATGCCCAGCGTTACGAGCGGTCAGTGCATGTGTCTTCTTGTTCTCAACTCTGGCCCCATCTGCGATAAAGTACAAGCCATGCTCAACAACGTCAACCCTTCAGGTTATCATTCATTCATTCATTCATTCATTCATTCATTCATTCATTCATTCATTCATTCATTCATTCATTCATTCATTCATTCAGACTACCTGGGCAGCAGTAGCACATCGGTCGCCGGCTCCACAACTTCAACGGCCACATCTGAACGTAGGATTACTAAGAAGAAATGCATGAATGAACGAATGAATGAACAAATGAATGAATAAATGAGTGATGAATGAATGGACGAATGAATGAATGAATAAATCAATGAATGAATGAATGAATGAATGAGTAAATGAATGAATGAATGAATGAATGAATGAATGAATGAATGAATGAATGAATGAACGAACGAACGAACGATCAATCAAATAAATGAATCAAATCAATCATATTGCTACTTTTATCAGCAGTTTTATGAGACGTTTTTCAGTTTTTTTGGCTTTTTAGAATAAAAAAAAAAATTTAAAAAACAAAATGGCGATTTTGTTTTATTTTTCTAAAAATTTAAAAACTAAAAATCATAAAACTGTGATAAAAATAACAATAAAAATAATAATTCTTAATTAGCTGAACGTTCGTAGTTATTATTATTTAATTAAACAATAATAATAATAATATCAACATTAATAACCAATATTATTCTCACATCATCATCACCACCATCATCTTCATCACTATCATCATCACCACCATCATCTTCATCACTATCATCATCATCACCACCATCATCTTCATCACTATCATCATCACCACCACCATCATCTTCATCATTCCAGCTAACGTAACAGCGGAATCTTCGGCAGCCCCACCAGCTCCACCACCACCCCCACCCCCTCCTCCTCCCCCACCTCCACCAGGGGGTGCCCCCAAAGCACAACCAAGAGGTGTGTGGCACTTTGGAAGTTTTTTTTATGTTTACTGTCCAAAAATGTTTTCAACCTTGTGAATGATACTAAACCAATCATGATCATATTAAGATCACAATTATTTCATAATTTTCATTTACAAATTAACCAATCATAATAATATTTTTTTTATTATTATTATTAATTATTTGCCACCAAACCAATCACGATCATTTTAAAGTCGCAATTACGTCATAATTATCATTTAAAAATTAACCAATCATGATGATAATTTTTACGACACATTTTTGTCTTATTAATATAACATTATTATATAAATTAATTAAAAACCGACCGATCTGTTGAGATAAAATACTCCATAGTAATTGTAATTACGTCACAATGACGTCACAAACGAACCGACCAATCACAAACAGCCAGGAGGTTGTCGACCAAACGCTCGCCGGCCAGGAAAAAATGCAACAGGGCCGAAATCTCAGCGGACATGCTGAAGGGCGCCAAACTCAAGAAAGTTCGAGGTGGAATATTATAATTAGAATTATTATAATTAAAATTATTATAATTATTATTACTAATATTATTATTATTGTTATTTTGATTGAAGATCGGCCAAGCTCTCCTGAGAAGCGAGCCTCAAATTCCTCCTCTCTAATGGGCGAACTGGCTGAAGTGCTGAAGAAAAGGGGCAAAAGGAATAATAATGGTGAATTATTATCATTATTATTTTTATTATTGGTAGTTGTAGTTGTTGTAGTTGCAGTAGTAGTTGTGTTGTCGTCGTAGTAGTTGTAGTAGCCGTAGTAGTAGTGGCAGTAGTAGTAGCAGTAGTAGTAGTAGTAGCAGTAGTAGTAGTAGTAGTAGCAACAGCAGTAGTAGTAGTTGAAGTAGCAGCAGTAGTAGTAGTTGTAGTGGTGGCAGTAGTATTCATATGAAAAGTAAAATATACAAAATAGTAACATCTAAATATCTTCACATATTTAGGAAACGCTAATTCCAGTGCCAACCAATCAAATTCTAAAGGTAGTTATAATTTTGTAAAAATAATAATAATAATAACAATATTATTATTATTATTATTATTATTATTATTATTATTATTATTATTATTATTATTATTATTATTATTATTATTATTGGTAGTTATTTGCACGTTAAATTTTATCATAACCTAAATAGTTGGTGGCCATGAGAATGAATTGCTATGCAGATTTTCACCTCATGAATATTAATTAGCTAATTTATTACCTAATTATATATTCATGATTATAATTTAGGAGGCTACCGAGAGGGGGATTATGTTAATGAGTCCGACAGGCCGGGAAAAATAATTCCATATACAACCTGCACGTCCGTCTCTGAAGTCAATTTAAGGAAATAAATTGTAATAAAATATGATAATTAGCCATAGTGAATTACAATGAATTATAATAAAATATTTTAATTAGTCGTAGTGGTGGAGTGTTACATGGTGAATTGTAATGAATATGTCTTAACGGGCTATTAGGAATTGTAAGGAATGAATTGTAATGAATTGTGATGCATTTCAATGAATTGTAGTGAATTATAGTGATGTATTTTTATGACTACAACTCATTGATTTTATATATAATATCAATATTACTGTAAAGAATGGTGGTGAATTGTAATGGGATGAATTGTAATAGATGGTAATTCATGTCAGTGAATTCTAGTGAATTATAATGAATTATTATTATGACTACAACTTAGTGATTTTATATTTTTCGTCAGCAATTTTATTTTCATAAATGTTTTTTTTTGTTTCTTAATGTAACGAAAAATTTTTCTTCTTAGTTATTTATTATATATAGATATATAGTAGTGGTAGTAGTAGCAGCAGCAGCAGAAGTAGTAATAGTAGTAGTAGTAGTAGTAGCAGCAGTAGTAGTAGTAGTAGTAGTAGCAGTAGCAGCAGCAGAAGTAGTAGTAGTAGTAGCAGTAGTAGTAGTTTACGAGCATTTTCAAATGCACGTGGTGAAATTGTAGTAAAATTGAAAGTGAAAAAAAAAATCAAAACGCACCCACCCAACATGTCGTCATCGCATGTTTACTTCTTTAGCGCCATTAAAGTTGCACTGGTGACAAAGCAATAAGTCCTAACTTCCGTAACGGCCTCGTTCTTTGTTTACTTTTTGTTCATTTATAATCTTTGGTTTATTTTATAAATTTTGCCATATTAATTTTTCAAAATAGTCTACATTTTGATAAATAAAAGTTGCTTGTTGCTTCTTGCGAATGCGTTACCATCGTCATCATCATCATCTGACATCATTATCATGATGAATTACTCTGATTAGCTACAACTAAAGCCACAATGGTGAGTATGTTTGGCTTGTTTTCAGTATTATTATTTTTAGTAGAAGTAGATGTAGTAGTAGTAGTAGCGGCGGTAGTAGTAGTAGTAGTAGTAGCGGCGGCAGTAGTAGCAGTATCAGTAGTAATAGTAGTAGTATTGTTATTAGTATTAATGTTAAATTTATAACTTAAATATAAACGAATTATCCCATAATATAATAATTTATTCATCAAAATAACCCAGAGAACTATAAAAATTACAATAATTTATTAACTTATGCACCGAACTAAACACCTAAAATTAGAACACTCAGACCCCAGCCATTGACAACGAGCCAACTTACCCCACGTTTACACCTAATGTTATGTATGTGTGGGCATTCATAGTGGTCGCCGGGGCAGAATTATCCTTTGGGATTCTGTATGGGGCTCTCTTCTACAAGCGTCTCTAGATTTTTTCACTTATTTTTAGTTTAATTTATTAACTTTTAGATTAATTTATTAATTTTTTTCATTTTTTTATTTTTAAGCTAATTTTTACCCTTATTTATGGAAAAAGATATGGCTATATAATAATAATCATAGATTTGTATATGTATATTATTTATTTATCCTAAGAGCTATTCTGTAAAAACGTTGACACAATAATTTATTTTCACAATATTTTATTTTTATTTTCACGTATTTGCTATTAAAATAATAATAATTATTATTATTATTACTGATATTCGTCTGAATATTTACCGGCACATCGCTAGAATGGAGGAAGACTAACACGATAACTCTGCTAGGCGCGAACCTCTACAAGATGCTACTCGATTCAAAACCGGTTCTCCTTAGGCCTCTCACAAAGGACGACATTCGTAAATAAACTTCATATTCATTCATCTTTGATTTGTTTTTACTATTTTCAATCTTTTGGTGACGGCAAGATGGTTTAGACAGGATGGCCTGGACTTGCTGTTGTGCCAATGCGTGGAATGGATTCCCTCTTATTCATATTATATGCTGTGTGTGTGTGTGTGTGTCTGTGTGTGTGTGTGTGTCTGTGTGTGTGTGTGTGTCTGTGTGTGTGTATGTGTGTGTGGATGTGTGTGTGTGTGTTGTTGTCGTAGAAACCGCTGGGACAAGGGCACAAAAGAGATTGACTTTTAACCTTTTTAACCTTTAACCTGGAGGTATCAGTGATGCTAATGCACCAGTACCAAAAAAAAAAAATTTTACCAGTAAGGCCTGATGGTATTGATGATCGTATCGGCATCTTGGCGGAAGCGGAAAACAGGCGTAGGTTAAAGAGGATGATTATTTTGCAGGTGCTAGATGGAGCCAGCAAGGATTCAGTCTGTTAGTTGTGTGGTTTTATTTGTTGTTGTTTATAAGAATATTTACAGTAATAATAATAATAATTATTATTATTAATATTATTATTATTAGTAGTAGTAATAAAAATAATATTTCTGTTTAATGAATTTTTCGTTCTAAATAGTTCTAAAATTTTAACTACGGAATTATAAAATATATTTCAAAGTAGACCAACCATCAAATTGAAGATTTAAAAATTTGTTATTAAATTAAATTATTTCATTCTGTCATCTAATTTTTTCCTCCAAAAAGTTGAAGAAGAGCAGCCGGTCCCTGAGCCCCCTGCACAGCCCCTCTCCCAAGAAGCTGAGGAGGAGACAGCACCTGTCGAGGAGAGCCTACCGTCTATACCATCGTCCCAACAAACCCTACAAACTGAAGGGATAAAGAAGATGGAAGAAAGGTTGAAGAAAGAGCGCGAGATGGAACGACAAAAGAAGAGGCTGAAAGAGTTGGAGAAACAGCAGAAGTTGGAAAAACAGAAAAGTTTAGATGAAGAAGAAAAACGAAAAAAAGAAGAACAAGCGAAACTAGCGCAAAAGAAACAAGTGAAGAAAGGTGCGAATGTGTTGTTGGCTGATGTTTTGGAAGATAATTTTGCAACTACAGTCAAGTCTAGTGCTGCTATTCCACGTGGAAAGCTTCGTCCGTTTGTGCCGTTCAAAAAATCGAAGAGAAAGAAAATTAAGGAACGAACTCCACTCAAAAAGTTGATGGAGGAGCACCAAAAAGAACTTGAAGAAGAAACTTCGAGAAAGCAAATAAAGGAAATGTTTGATAAGAAGAAGCACAGACGATCATGGGTCGATGAGCCAGAACCGTATCCCGATCCTGAATCTATGAAGAAACAGCTCGTCATTGGAATTCTTGAGGAAGGAGACCACTTGGACAAGAAAAGCTTTAAAGTCATACAAAAAGATAAAGTGCCACCCGCTCACCAGAAACTTATGGACATCGATCAAGCAAGAGTTAACAAGATTCTATTGTCACCGGACCATAAAAACGCTCAAAACCTGACCGCGGAGGAAATTACACCGATGATTCACCCCATGCCCCACGTGCCAGGTGAGCCAATCCAATTGAAGGGTCCCATCGAGGTAACGCCTGTGAAAGGATTGCCGCCAGAGCAACAAAAAGAGCAACAGCTCATCCACCAGCAATTGATTGAACATAAACGGCAACAAACTCCACATGAACCAACTTCCAAACAACCGCCGACAACACCAAAATCTGTTCCAGTCTTGCAACCAGACAGACCTTTGATAATTCCAACAAAAACAGGTTCCATAGTAGCCACCCCACTGGAGCCAACTATAATGGGAACTGTACCTTTCCAACGCAAGAAAAGTTCAGCGAGAAAATCGCTACAGAAGCAATTTGAGCAACAGCAACCGCAAAAACCACTACAACCCTCCCAATCCATCATGAGCAAATCCGAGGGATCGACAACGAGAACGACGCCCTACACAACTACTACGGCAGATGCAAAAACTGCTTCACAAACGGCCACTCAAACGGGGGGATCAACAGCCACACCAACCCGCTCAACATTAACATCGACCCCCCTCTCAACGCCACTGGCCACTTCGACCCCCGTCTCAACGCCACTGGCCACATCATCGGCGACGACGTCGGCTGTCGTCAACCAGCAGCAGCCAGCTTCGGCAGCAACACCAGTGGCCACTAATGCTCGCTCAAGTCGTCCACAATCGTTGAAACGCGGATCTAAAACGGCTTCCGGCAAGAAATTGATAATCACAGGAAGGAAGAAGCCATTTAAGAAGGATCAGAAAGAAGGCGAGTCCATGCAGTTGAACCTTCGATCTTACATAACAGAGAATGAAGTTGACGTCAGCGCTAACAAGCTCACAAGTGGATCGGTTCTACCTAGCTATATGGATTAGCCGGGCGCTATATAACTATAGTTGTTAAAAGCTATAGCTATAGCTTATATTCTGTTTAGCGATAATAGAATTTATATTGTATTGAACTATATTATTATTTAAATGTAATTCTTCAATATTAATACTAACAGTCTAATTATTATCATCATAACTCTAATAGTCTATACGTAATAATAACATTTTTTAATTTATCTTTTTTGGATTATCTATTTACTGAATCCAAATTGCATTTGTCGCTTTGGGCCTACGAGACTTCACTCAAAAATAATAAACTGAATTTTAATATATACCTTTACACATTTTGGGTTTGGGCAAAGCAGATTTCATTAATTATGGCAGTCCATCTTTGATTAATTTATCATTTATAAAAAAAACATAATGCGTAATGCATGGGGGTTTGATGATAATTACATACTATACAGGCAATAATGTGAAAAAAATCAGTAGTAGCTGTAGTAGTGTCTGTAGTAGTGTCTGTAGTAGTAGCTGTAGTAGTAGTAGTAGTAGCTGTAGTAGTAGATGTAGTAGTGTCTGTAGTAGTAGCTGTAGTAGTAGCTGTAGTAATAGCTGTAGTAGTAGTAGTAGAAGTAGCAGAAGTAGTAGTAATTAAAATTAAGAACAAGAATTAATGGTAATTAATAGTTACATTTATATGAATTTAACTTTACAAAAATATAGTATTTTTTATGAGGGTTCTTAAAATGGGGCCGGGCCACTTTCATGGCTGCCCTACCAACCAAACTCTAGGCCATGTTGAATTGTATTTTGATTTCGAAGGGCATTGCAAAGGGTATTGAGATGTGGTTGAAGGGTATTGTTATTTCACCTTTCTTTTCTGTTGATCCGATTGATAATAAACAAGTCAAGGACGTTGCTTTGTTTATTTCTCTTTTAATGTCTTTCAATATTATATAAATTAATTAAACGATCTACGTGACAAGAAATTTAACAGGTTAAGGGACCCAGATAGCGTTTTAATTATTTAATTTGACGAAGAAAATTTAGAATAAAGAAATATCGAAAGATTTCTTTTTGAAGACTGAAGTGAAGAGAAAACACGTGCTTCTTCATTCTCTGGAAGTTGATTATTTTATTTTTAAAATTTGCAAACATAAAGTATTCCTACCGATTATAGACACTAGTGGTGTGTTGGGGGTGCCCTACTGTCCAGGGTGTCTGTTACCTCCGCAGTTTAACTTTTCAAAATTGCTAAAATGCCTGACATCACTGTTGCAAAGAGATCTCCGCCCACCACATGCAATGTGTGTGCTGCATGCATTTTCACATGTGCTATGTTTGTTGCACATGAGAACTCTGAAAAAAACTTAAAAGAGATTTTTTTTTCAAACTTTTGTTAAGTAGAAAAAAGGTTTCATGATTATTTGTGTTGTTGAATGATTTAATTATTCGGAAGTTATCTAAAATGTTGGGATACCAATGCAAATTTAACAAATAAGGAGCTTAGATATTTTGAGGCCCACACAAATAATTACAGAAGTTTTGAGAACCCACTTCTTTGTTGCCCTGAGGTCTGGTTATCAGTGCAACAAGTTATGTGACGGATGAAATGATTAAACGTGTGTATGTGTGTGTGTTTGTGGGCGTGTATGCGTGCATGTACTAATAAATACACAAACAAAAAAGGGTATGAATGAGCAACTGGGCAAATGAATACACATGAATTGGGCAAATGAATACATTGAATGGATGGTTATCACCCGTTTCTATGGTTTCAAATTTATTAAGATGAGCAAGGTTTCAAAAATGTTGGTTTCATAATCCTACAGTTTCAGGTGCCTTAACCATAGAATAATATCGAAGAGTGACGTTCGTAGTTTTGATGAAGTCATTTTGTTTTTGGGTTTTTACGAAGAAAAAATGTTATAAAACTTGTATATTATTATTAACGAAATGTTAAAAATTTAATGAGAACGTGGCCAGATCAGGGGGGTGTCGGTGATCCCGAAAGCCGCGGGATTTTAAAGACTCTGAAACGTGTGTCTGTTTTTTTAATATTTTTTTTACAGGGTAGTATAAAAGACAAAAGTGTAAAAACCGCCTAGAAATTTTCTTGAAATTTTAAAAATTTGCGTCGAATATCTTGCAAAAGTTCCTCATAGTATTTTAATAGCCACACTAAGACAATTCTCTGGTTCAGTTCAGATAACAACCTCTTCGGGCAAATGAAAAAGTCAACTTAAAATTAATTTTGACTTATGATTTTTGGCAACCAGAAAAGAAACAACAAACAAACAATTATAAATAAACAAAAAAACTACGGTATATATATATATATATATATATATATATATATATATATATATATATATACATATATACAACTTCCAGATATATTTATATATTCATTACATAAAGATATACATATAAATATATACACATATTAGTACACCTAAATGTATTGTAATATGTATACAATAATTTCTTTACTAACTTTCATCTGCCCGTTTGTTAAGATTTTCGAATGCGAAAAGGTAGGCGAGATGAATAATAATAATAGTAATAATAATAATAATAATAATAAATAATAATAATAACAATAATGTATAATGCTGTTGTTCGTTACTGTTATTTTTCATCCTCTCCATCATATTAACTAACATCATTGTCACGGCTGTTGGCTTTCTTATTATTACAATTATTATCATTATTATTATTATTACTACTACTACTACAACTACCACTACTACCACTACAACTACTACCACTATCATTATTATTATTATTATTATTATTATTATTATTATTATTATTATTATTATTATTATTATTATTATTATTATTGACCCAGTATTTCAAAGTGGACAAGGAGGTTTTTGTGGATGGCGCCAGAATCCTACCATTGGACGATGTAAGACCATAATATGAAACTGACTTCTTCAATTTTTTTAAAAATTAAATTCTCTAAAAATTAAAAAAAAAATATTCATATATGTAATCAGTGGAGGCGTAGCCAAATTTAGGGGTAAATTAGGGACTGAAAGCCCAACCCTACTTGCCAACCTATATAGGAGTAAAGATTAAGGTTAATGAAAATCTTTTTAAAGACTTCGATTTTGGGTCCTACCATAGCAACAAAATTTGGTAGAAATTTTGTCCGGGTTGCCAACTTTTACACTTGTTCGAACCCCTTTTTCTTCTTTTGCGTGCCTCATTCTTTCAAGAAATTAGCGACCATCTACCTCCACAAAACCCGATCTTTAACACTTTCTAAGAGCTGAAATGTGGTGATATTCAGCAAGTGACACAAGGACTTCACGAATGTTGTTCGTTGTTGACCGCGATTTCTTCTCCCTGCAATCTTTCCAGTAATTGTTAGATTTTTCATTCTTTTCTTCGGCATGATGTGACCGAAAAACTTCAACTGCCCCCTCGTCCCGTCGGATTATCTCTAGTAATTTCCTCTTCCATAACCGGGCAGTTTTAAATCCATCCCCATTCGAACCATTATATCTGGGAAAAAAAATTGGCTACACCGCTGATAATCGGTGTTATATTAAAGTGTATAATGATAATAATAATAATTATAATAGTTATAATAATAATAATAATATTAGTAAAAAAATTTTTATTACCAGTCTTATTTATGTTTTATTGGAATTTTGGGTTTGCAAGAAAGTTTTTTTTACAAATATTTTCATTAAAAGGTGATTCTGAAAAACGATTTAGAAGAAGTTAGCGCTATAATATTAATAATTTATAATAATAATAATAATAATAATTTATTACAATTATAACAATAATTATTATTATTTTAATGACTGTTACTGCTATTTTGGAAAGAAAAAACTCGATCTTTTGCTGTTCAAACTGAGACACGGCAGAGTACCGATAAAGGTTTGTCATAATTAATAATAATTATATTTATAATAATAATTATATTTATATTAATAAATAATAAATAATAATAAACTCTAAATTACTTCAAAAAAATAATCCTAGCGAGTTTACATCAAAAAAAAATAACGCAGATTTACAATGCACTGATGAAGATTTTAAGAGAAAATAACATGGTTAGCCATAATTAATTATAATTAAATACTATTTCTTATACTACTACTACTTCTACTACTACTACTGCTACTACTACTACTACTACTACTACTACTACTACTACTACTACTATTACTACTACTGCTGCTGCTACTACTGTTATTATAACTACTACTAAAATTACTACTACAACAACTTCTGATGCAATTTATGGGTGGCTAGATAACCGAACGGTTAAGGCGTCTGGTTCTTTGTGTACGAGTGTGTGTGTGTATGTGTGTATTTGTGTGTGTACGTGTGTGTGGGTGTGCGTGCAAGATGGTTATGCGATTTTTTTTTGGCAGACATCGCATTCGAACGCGGTGCCATCGGCACAAGAATCACCGAAGATTCGACTGATTGACCCACCAGCTACTAAACAAGATGGCAACAATAAGAATAATAATAATAATAATAATAACAACAACAACAGCAACAATACAAACAACAAAAATAGTAATAATAAAACCAATAGTATAGCCAACGAAACTTCAGAGAACAACGACAATATGCTGCATGTAAGGGCTCTGAATGAACAGCAAATGAATCATAATAATAATAATAATAACATTAATAATAATAATAATAAAAATAATAATAATAATAACAATAATTATCGTAATCATAATCAAAATAATCATAACGATGATGATAATAATAAAGACGCCAATCCATCCAGCAGTATTATTACAACCGCTATTCAATCAAACTTTACTATTACTACTACTACTACTACTACTGCTGCAGCTTCTACTACTACTGCTGCTTCAGCTGCTACTACTACTACTAATACTACTACTAATGATAATAATAATAATAATTATGCTACTACAACTGCTTTCACTGATAATACTACTACTGCTGCTGCTGCTGCTGCTACTGCAACAACTACTACTGCAAAAACTACTTTAACTGGTATTGATAATGATACCGTCGTGAAAGAAGATGATGATGATGTCAATTCAACAGAGGTTTTTTTTTGTTGAAAAAATTTACTAAGCAATTTTTGAGCTATTGCATTTTATTTGGCAGTGTTGGTAATTTTACTGCAGATGAGTTTTTGATTTTCAAACAATTCATTTATCTGTCATTCATTCATTCATTCATTCATTCATTCATTCATTCATTCATTCATACATTCATTCCTTCATTCAATCATTCATTCATTCATTCATTCATTCATTCATTCATTCGTCCACTTCATTCTTCGATCAATCATCTCGATATTTTCATTTTTAACAGTGGACAGAATTTAAGGACGTTTTTATCGAGAAGAATGTAAGTCTGCTTTAAACCAGTGTTTCTCAAAGTGGGCGATGGTGCCCCCTTGTAAGCCATAAAATCTTACTGGAGAGGGGGGGTGTGACAGGTTATAAAAAAATTTGAGAACTTCAGAAGTTTCATGCTTATGTAATGGTAATTTTTTGCTGGGATTACAAAAACCAGTTAAAATCTTTTTCCGTGTTAACCGTATGAATAGCCATCAACATTAGTGTCAATATGTAAACAAAGCTCAAAATCTTGTTGTATTTGGCTAGAGAAGCAAATCCCTTTGTTGTGCCCTGATATTAACAGTCTTATCAAAAAAAACCCATCACCCAAATTCACCCATCCTATTGAATTCATTTATGTTCAATTGTTCGTTCGTTTCAACTTGGATTTAATACAACTCTTTCTTTGTAAGACTGTCTTTCATTGCTTTTATTCCTCAAGACTTTTATTATTTTAAAATAAGTGTATGCACAGAGGAACGAGGCTAATACGTATTAATGTTATAACATGCACCAACTTACTCCAACTAAAGCTAACTTTTATGACATTTCTTTCAAATGAAAAGTTTTAAATCGAACGGGGCACTAGAAAAATTTTTCTCCTAAGATTGGGCTGTGGATAAAATAAATTTGAGAACCACTGGTTTAAACTATAACAACTCTTAATATTTATTCATTTGTTAGTTCGTCCGTTTGTTCGTTCATTCGTTCGTTCGTTCATTTGTTCGTTCATTCGTTCGTTCATTCATTCATTTTTCGCTCACTTATTTAAAAATAAGCACATAAATACACACGAATGAGTGCATCACACACACATTGCATCTATTCAATCCATTCATTCATTAATTCCATCATTCCTTCATTCATTAATTCACCAAACCAATTCATTCACTCATTCACTCATTCATTTCATATTTAAAAAAGCTGACAGATGAATATGTCAACATGGACTATGGGAAAGAAGGCGTTAGTGCACGCACACACACACAGACACACACACACATACAGCACACAAAAATATACAAATGTTAAACAGCATTATCATCACCACCATACATAAACATCATCA